TTCAGTTCAGAAACTTCGTTGCAGAGAGAGAAAGAGAAATCGAACTTCAAATTGAACCCGAATGTTTATAGAGAAGAAGCAAGAGAATAGGGATGGATCTGGAATGATGGAAGTTGGAGAGAAAAATCCTGAAATATCATTATTGGCATACTTATCTTGCATATCGAATTTCTCGTTTGATCATGCTCGAAGCTTCTCATTTTCCTCTGTCCACCCATTTAATGGCGTACGTTCCTCTACGATCAAAGGTATCCGGCAGTCTCGTTCCCCGTTCCTTTGTTTCTGCCATTTCGTCGTGCAGCCACGTCATTTTTATAATATACCAGCATCGGGCAACCGAAACCTTTCACTCGCTTCGCCAGCCTTTTCCCTAACGAAGAAGCACACGTGCCCGGGACCGTGGGCAAAGAAAGCTCTGATGAAAGTTGACCATCGCGCAAAGCTAGTTGGTGGCCATGGCGGAACAAAAGGCAGGAGGCAGCCACGAAAGAAACCGTGGAAAACGTCGAATGGAATCACGAGTGTAAGACGAGTGACTCGAACGGCGCCGTTCAAAGGCGACTGAACGTATTTTCGAGGCCTCGAACGACCGGCACACGCTCGTTTCTCTCTCTCTCTCTCTCTCTGTCTACGCGGTCCGTGAAAACCGCTTTTAACTCGTCCCAGTTTTCGGACTTTCGCGGAGGAAGAACGAAATCCAGAGGACGTCCGGCGTCCGGCGTCCGGAATGGAGCGAAACTCGGAATGGCTTTTTGCGGTTCCGTAGGTGGCAAGATGAAAGGCGAGTTATTTGTCTTTTGTCGGTGGACGACAAAGGCCAGTTACGAAAGCCCGATTCCCTTTCCCCACAAGACCCCCTTTGCTCTCTTCCGCGAATAGAATACTTCGTCTCGCGGTCCCCTGCGTAATCCTTATCAATGATCCGGATCTACCGTCAGCGGGACTTCTTCCACCGTCTCGCCCGTAGCACGCGAATACTCCGCGGGAAAATTCACGAAGATTGACCGGGGGGGCTCGAAACGTGGCCGGACAGCGAGATGATATTTCATTTGCCGAAATCAGAAACTACTCGCGGCGATTGTCTCTTCCCCCGGGAACGAATTCGGTGTTGCGAAAATGGCGGACGTTCGCGCGGAGGGGAAAAAGATATCAACGATGCTTCAGCGTTAATCGAAGTCCAAGCGAAACAGAGCGCATTGAAATGCACGCAACGGAGGGAACGCAGTCTGCATTAATAAAACCCGGTGCTCGCGCGAGAAACGCGTCTGCCATTGCTACGAAGCTCGGCTAAACGCCCCTCGGAACGAACTAAGTACTTACTTGATTACGATCCTGGGATAATTTCAGAAACGGCGGGAATACCGGGCGAGAGGGTGTGCAGCGGCAAGAAAAAGGGAAGAAGTTTCGCGGAAGCGAGTTAAAGAGTTAGCGCGAGCGCGATGAGAATGTAATGGAAGGAAAATCTGTCGGAAATGGAGCTGGTCGATGCTTGGGGTGGTAAACAATGCAGGTTGGAAGGAGAGTAAACATCGCGGAGAATTGTTTTTCGACGTGGCACGAGCTTTTTTGTACCGCTCTCGGTGCATCTCTGGCGAGGATCTGCGCTGCTTCGATTTCGCGCTCCAACTTTAAGTAGATCAACCCGTACGTGGTCGGACAGACGACAGTCGACAGGCGAGCGTCGGACGGTTTGTAGCGGAATTCGCGTTGAAACCAGGCCGCGTTTCGAAGAGCATAGAACCGTGGTAAAGGCGACTTAATTAAGCGGAGATCTGTCGAAGAAAGCTGTAGTTGAAACCGTTGTAACGAAGCAACGTGCCAAACCGCTTCGAGCAAAGTTACTTTTGCCTAATGTCTCGTTACGCACTCGCTTCGTCGCCAAATTTTACCGGCGTTTAGCCCTCGAGGATCGTCGCTGGCGCAACGAGCAGCAGTTCACCCCGACCTCGCGATAAACCTCCTCGGAATCAACCCTTCGCCTCGCCCCGACGTGTTGCTACTCGTCTCCAGAAACCCTTCGACGAGGCGAGTAACTAGGTTTGCGACGGGAGCAGCGAAGGGGTCGCTACTTAAACGCAGCCAGCAATTTAATTTCGCTGGAACAGGGCGCAGGGTGGGTGGAGAGCAGGGGTTGGACGCGGGCCACCGCATTATTGCGCTGGCCGCAACACAATGCACCCGCGGACCGCTTTTTCGACGCAGCCTGCGCGTGCATCGCGGGTATCCAGGGCTGAACCGAACGTTATCTCCTTTGAGGTAGCACTCGCGAGAATTGCGACGCGGTTTATTGGCTGACTGGGTGCCATTAAACGGCGGAATTCGTTTGAATTCGTTGGAGAAAATCGACACGTGTCGGCTTACGAATTAAAAGGATACCCTGCGGGGCGAGTCGCGTGTTCAAAGGGTTGAAACGAAAATAACGGACGACGGAGAGCAGGGAAATCGGGGTGAATGTTCGATTAAATATCGTTTGACGAATTAAACGCGATTGATAACGAGAGAACCGTGTTTTCTTAATTGATACGATTCGTTCGAGAGAGGGAACGATAATCGCCGGTGCTAGAACCCACTCGAATAAGCTGAACGCGAATTCGATGGATTTTATTACACGCGGACCCTTTCTAATTTTCCTTATCATGGCCGCCCTCTCCCTTCGAACCCTCATAAAAGCTTTTAAGATTCGGGTTTCGTTGATATATATATACGGGTAGGGGTCCGGGAAATGGATCTTGGGGGCAATTAAAGGTGAAAGATAAGAATGGAGGGGAAAAGTTGGTTAAGAATGACGAAATAATATCCGGAATACCTTTTGCCGGGAAAAAATTGCACGAAGAGAGATTCTATCGCAACGAGCAACATAAGTTACCGTGACATTTGCTTTTTACTCCTTTTTTTCTTTTTTTTTCTATTTTCCACTCGATGTTGCGGACGTTTCTATCCGATATGAAATTTATTTTTATTTTCGCAACGTTTTCAAAGGAATATGGAAAAGTGGACATTCCGTTGGAAAGTTCTAGCCAGTTTAATAACTGGCGATCGTTCGACGTAAATGAAAAGCACGTATTCGCCAAATTTACAATTTCCAGCTCGGTGACAGCGACGCGAAATTAAAAATAGGCGAGCCAAATAGAAAACGTGATGTTGGTTTTCCATTTTTGTTCGACACTCGAACGTCCATACGACAAATGCCAATTCTCGCGTCTGGAATATCTCGAATTAAACGGCGTGACTGTTGCAAAAAGTGTCGGAGAACTTGCATCGATGTGGATGTGGATGTAGAACACGGGCCGAAATGGAAATGAAAATTCATTAAACTAGCAATCTTTGGGTTAAAATTGAAGCCGTTCACGGTTATTCAAGCGCTCGGAGCGACGAACTGCCCCAGACTCTATATTTTCTGAAGCGTGAGGCGAAGACCGAGGCTCGAATCCCCTTTGCCAGCCGCCCCTCCCGCGTCTCGGGGTTGCAAGCCTCTCTTCAGCTCTGGCTGCAACTTTTCTATAGGGCCAGACATACGGTCAACATCGGTCTTTGTTTCGACGAGGGTCGTTCACGTGCCGCTTTCTGTAACGTTTCCTTCCTTGCCCGCTTCTCGTGGACGTTGGTATTGTCGCTCGAATAGGGGTCGGTGTTCCGTGATAAGATGTAGGCGAACTACTCGCATTCCCTTTTTCTTTCCCTCTCCTCTCTTCTTCCTTTTCCATTCCTCTTTGCCGCGACATCGATCAAACTTATAACCGCGCTTTAATACCGCAGCGAGATATCGATCAAGATATCGATATATCTTCATAATCGAACGCTATTCGATTGTTTATGTCGCGCAGTAAACCATTTGTTAATTAGCTCGGGTAATTTCGTCCTTTGGCAAATAGCCATAGTAAATAAATGGCTAATGCGATTAGCGGCGAGCGTGATTATTAAATAATTACGAGCGTATGCTATCATTCGGCACTGGGTATAGAGAAGCTTTGCCTCGTGATCGACTCTCGTCACACTGGATCTACAACGTGGCTATTCACCTTCGCGATCGAATATCGGAATCTATCTTCCGAGAAGCACGTAGAAAATAACCGGCATCTAAACGATATCCGAGATCGAATCGCGTTTCTCCTGCAACTATCGATTCCGAGCAGCAATTTTCACAGCGTGGAAAAGCGACGGGGAAAGTTGCACGAGACGAGGCGCATTGCGAGACCGCATCCAATCACGGGCGCGTTTCTGCAAAACATCCGAGCTCTAATCAAAAGCCTGTCGTTTGAGCGGGTCAGCGCGTTTTCTCGTTATATTCTGTCGGCGAGGCGTGTTTCACGCGATCCCGCGTACGAATCGACACATGTCGCGGTTCGCGGGGCCTAGAGAGCGGGCCGGCTGTCACACAGAAGCAGGCGACAATGGCGGAAGAAGCATTAGCGGGCCGTCATATCCGGCGGAACGTTCCGTCATGCCCAGCATTCTCTGTCGCAAGGTTAATTCTCCTGGTGTCCCGTATCCCTCTCTCTCTCTCTCTCTCTCTGTCTCTCCTTCTCTCGCGACACCGTAAATCGCTGACAGACTTCGCCGGGAACAATGCCATCGTCCTTCTACCACCACCTTTCAAGCGCCCGTTTCTCTCCACTCTTCGTCGCGTCCTTCGTTGCTCGAAGCTTTACCTCCAGCCAGACGAGACGGCGATAAGGTGAACAAAGACTGCGTCGGACCTTGAACGAAACGAGAGTTCACAGGCGCCTGTAACGTTTCCCTCCCACGATTGTTTGCCAAACATCGACGAAAGGCCGTTAATATTTCAAACGCTGCATCGCCGTCGTCGTCGTCGTCTTCGTCGTTGACGACGGTTATCGAGTTCGAGGTGTACCTCGGTACACGTTAAAGGCAAAAGACGAGATTCTTTTCGCGCAAAGGAAGCTTTCCGAGCTGGATCGCGTTCCTTGTCTACATATTTCTTGCGAAATTTTTCCACGTACACGCAAGGAGACACCGAAGAAATACCTTTCTCTGTGCAGGCATGGGGGACAGCGGTAGAAAGCATCCGGTGTTGCTGTACATCCACGGCGAAAGCTACGACTGGGGCAGCGGAAATCCGTACGACGGCAGCGTGCTGGCCAGCTACAACGACCAAGTGGTTGTGACGATGAACTACCGGTTGGGCGTGCTCGGCTTTCTCAACGCCAGACCAATATCCCCTCAGACCAAGGCGAGGGTCGCGAATTACGGGCTGATGGATCAGATCGCGGCGCTTAAATGGGTCCAAGACCACATCGCCCTGTTTGGCGGAAATCCCAAGAACGTGACGCTGATGGGCCAAGGCACTGGGGCCGCCTGTGTTCATTTTCTCGCCATCAGCCCAACGGTCAGCCGCGGTGAGTCACTTTTTATCCCTCTGAATACGTAAAAATTACGAGTAACGAATAATTACTTTCTCTTCCAACCGATTTTCGATTATTTATCGTATAACGACGATCGAATAATAATAAATCGGGTAATAAAACCGGTCGACCGGTTTCTCGATTGACCCGAACTCCTCGCCGAGAATATGCTATTTCTGCCACGTTCCGAATCATTCTGGCGAACGTCAGGTGGAGTTTACGATATAACCTGTTTTTAATACTCGGTCGAGTTCTCGACCGCGAATCAGTCGAACGATGGAATAAATTTCGAGGAAACTCTCGAAAGTCTGAAGATCAACGGGAAATCAGGCTGGCGAAGAATACGTTTAATTTCGACGTTTCTTCCTCCTTCGTCCTCGAGTTCGAAGTTCATTCGATCGACTGTGACTTTCGCCAAGTAATCTCGTCGAATCTCGACCAAGTTCGGGAAGTTTGCGCGTAACACGGTAAAAATCCAGTCTCGCGTTCTGCGCTACTAGAAGCACCGGACCACTTTTCACATCTTTCTTACGGTTCTTCCCAGTTCGCTTAAATTCCATTCTCTCCGGGCCCGTTCCCGAGTTCGTTCATGCGCGACAAATTCTGGAGAAACAATTAACCATCCGTCGTTCGAGGGACTACGTCCCTGCTGAGCGTGGCAAGGGTGTAGAGAAAAATCGTTATGCCATAAGTAACGAGACTCCGACGGTCGCGAAGCCTCTTCTCTTTCAATGGAGGAATCCAATACTTCTCGGTGATTCCGTCGATCGTCGGACGAACCGCTAACGAGACTCTTCAGAAGAATTCAGAAGGAAACGAGCTTACGTGTGTCGAACTGCTTTCTGATCGTCGTCGAGGCTCGGACGTTCCTCCAGACGCAATTTCAAAGATCCGATCTTTCGGATCTTTTCGATGGGATAGGAATAAATGGAAACGGCGATTCGCGTTGTTCGGAAATCATTTTTGTATCAATTAGAAGTTCAGCTTTAAGTTAAAGTGGAGGAAAGTTGTCGGGTGTTGGGAGCGCGAGCGGTTGTCTGACTCGTGACAGTGTTGCGCTACTTACCGCGCTTTGAGCATCCGGTAGAGCAACTTCTATGGAGATATAAAGGAAAGAAAATGGAAATAAAAATTGCTTAGTTTGCAGTAGTTTAAACTACGAAATACAGGAATTACGAAGAGTTGTTAAACACTCGTTAGAAAATATGAAAGGTAATGTAAACTTCTGTAATGTTTACACTGTACAGAACGTTGAGACGTAACGAGGAAATATTCGGGAGGTATTAAACGGAGGGTAGAAATCTTCGATAGCATCGAGTAATTTAGGGTTCGATTCTTTCTGCCTAGTTTTCCAGGGGAGCAAAATTTTCTCGATCAACCCTTCCCCGTAGCGAAGAATTTCTTGTTTATCTTCATGAACGCTGTATGAACCAATCATCTGTATCTTCGAAAAAGATCTAGCGTGGGCGTAGTAAAAGTCGAGGAGTCTTCAGAGGGAATACTGGAATTACTTCTCGAGACCTCCGAACACCTAGACTGAGACTGAGAAAAGGGGGTGGAAAGGATGTAACACGCGGAGGTGGACGAGGAAATAACGAAGCACGTCAAAAAATAGTCTGAAATAACGAATCCTAAAAATTCGGAATATCCAGTTACCGTAAAAGGTTTAAGAAAAAATGGCTGGAAAATAGAAATGGAAAAAGAAGGGGGACAATAGTACCGGGAGATAACGATATCGTTATCAATATCGTTTGTTTTCCTTTCCATCTTCATTCCGGTAGTTTATACTCGGTTTCATTCACGGTTAATGGTTCTCCCCAGCCGACGATGAAACGAGAAATGGTTACCATGGATAAACTGTAATAGGCAGAGAGGTACAAACCGATAGAAGGAGAAATTCTCGCGATATTATGCACGTGAAATATCGTTCTTCTTCCCCAATGGTCACGGACATCCTCACACGCTATTGGAAAATACTTCCTGCTTTTATGAGGCCGCGGAACGTCCACGATCTGGCTCTGTGTTTCTTTCGTTCGTTTTTCCCTCTCGTTTCTTTTCCGACGAACGTTCCAGGCAGCCCGTCGGACTGGAATTTCTCGCTTAGCCCTGCCGATTCCCGGCCGATATTGCTCCGACGGTTACGTCGATGAGGCTTCCCGAATACAGGCTGCTGGAAATTGCTGGTATAAATCTGTCTTGATAAATTGTCAGTCGCGAAGGGAGCCGGCAGTAGACGTATTAATTGAGGCAACGGCTTTGGAAGTTAACGAAACAGCTTTGTTCCCGCGATTGGCTCCAACGATGGATGGGTTCCCGAGACTTTGTAGCTTTTGAAGTTCCACGTCGGTTATTCGATTGTTTCCTATTGTTTAGATCGAACTGGGAACGAGGAGACACGTTGTCTCGGGGATCAAAATTTCTTTAAATTTTCTCTGTCCGTTCGCTTCGTTGGAATTTTCGGGGAGACGGCTCGGACGTTGCAACGTTCAGTGGCACAACGTTGTCGTGTCAGTGGTGTCATCGTCAACGCGATGCAGCGTGTAACACACGAGCGATCTTTCTGTCGATGGTGTATCCTGTTCGGAAATTTCTGAAGCTTCCCGCACTCGAAACCGAGACAAGAACGGAACGGTGGCTCGATTATCCTTGCTACGTGACAATCACGGATACGCGCATCCGTCGCGCTTGTTACTCGTTCGATATCCTTCTTTCTGATGTAATTTCCATCTCCTTTGTCCCGGCCGTAGCACGTTTCCTGCTTAATGTCGATCTTCGCGCTTTCCCCGCGAAAAATACTCGCCGTAATTTGTAGTTCTGCGTCCTGCATCGAGATACTAGCGCCATCTAGGCCTCTTTACTTCCTAACCGAGTGTTCCGTGCTCAGGTAACGAATCGACATATTCCATCGAATTATTTTCAAATTTCCCGCGCAGTCTCTAAGAGAACACACGCGCTTCGAGATTTCTCGACGCCTTTTCGCAGCTGCTGTTGTTCGATACGGAAACTAATTAATTAAGGACCACGGCCAAGTGTTCTTTCTCCTAGTTTCAAGAAAGATACGCGAACAACCCCTCGGAAACTTTTGTCCCGACGCAAACTTCCTGCGACCGGAGCGTCTTCGACATGAATCACGTTCGATTTTTCCTGGGTCTCGGTCCCGCGTAGAGGATAA